AAAAAAAAAAATGGAATTCCTAAATTCAGGGAATAGAGACATCACAGAGAGAGCAGGGTTTGGAGTTCATTCTTTATAACAGGATGGCACTAATGTTCTTCAGAAAGAAAGTATTTTTCTAATGACTTAGGAAGAAAACAGCAGCTGTGAGAAAAGAGAAAATGCACACTGTTTCAGCACCTTGTCTCTAGGTGGGCTATTTCCAAAAAGCCAAATGAGATAAGAGATTGTAAAGTAGAAAAGTGACAGTAGATGTAGATAAGAAGAGGTGAAACCTATGGCCTCTTAAACAATTTAACAATAGAAGAACCCAGGGGCAGACCAGATGTGGGTACAGAGTAAGACAGAGGAAGTAGTAAAAGTTAAGTCATGGATTAATGCTGGAATAATGTCATGATATATTTCACAACAGCACATTTTGGGAGATATGGAAGATGATAAATTTGAATTTGCACTTACTGAATCTGAGAAACTCAAAAAGACTTAGATCCTTACCTGGCAAATGGAAAGGTGAGTCTAGAACTAGGAAGACAGGACTAGGATAGAAAACGGTTCTTTTTATAAAAATTTCAGATAATTTTTAAAAAATTGGTAGAGTCTAAATATGGCAGGTACATCTGGTTTCAAGTGAACCACATGTTTTATAGAGAGTCAGGTTTTACTTCATAGGTATTTAAGATGTTGCTATGTTCTGAAGTGTCCCCTCCAAAATTTGGGTGTTGGAACCTAATGGCTTATGTGATGATATTGAGATGTGGGGTTTTAAGAGGGGATGATGTCATGTAGGCTTCTCCCCTCATGAATGGACTAAGGCCATTATAAAAATAGACTTCACAAAACATGCAGGTAGCTTGCCCTTTAGCTTCCCATCATGTGAGGAATCCTCACCAGACAATCAGACCTGTTGGCACCTTGATCTTGGACCTTCCAGCCTCCAGAGCTATGAGAAAATAGATTTTTATTCCTTGTTAATTACTCAGTCTCTGATATTTTGTTGTGGCAACAAAAATTAGGCTAAGATAGAGGTTAATAGTGTGACCACCACCTTTATAAGTGAAATGACTAATATTTACAATATATTTTCCAGGAAGATAATGTTATAAAATATATTTTAACAATAGCATTGACATATTTTAGTGACTAGTACACAAATGTAACTGTAGTAATAAATGAGAGAGACAGGAAATTAGGGACAGATTGTACAGAGCCTTTAAGGTTACTGCTAAAGCTTTTGTAAGAATAAATATTATGCGGTGCAGTGGCACACACCTGTAATGCCAGCGGCTTCGGAGACTGAGGGAGGAGGATTTCGAGTTCAAAGCCAGCCTCAGCAAAAGTGAGGCTTTAAGCAACTCAGTGAGACCCTGTCTCTAAGTAAAATACAAAATAGGGCTGGGGATGTGGCTCAGTGGTCGAGTGCCCCTGAGTTCAATCCCCAGTACCCCACCAAAAACAAAGAATAAATATTGGAGGGAGGAGAGGGGTGGGGGCTTGGGGGTAGGAAAGATGGTAGAATGAGAAGGCCATCATTACCCTAGGTATAGGTATGATTGCAGAAATGGTGCGACTCTACTTTATGTATAACCAGAGAATGAAAAGCTGTGTTCCATTTGTGTACAATGAAATAAAATGCATTCTGTTGCCATGTATATCTAATTAGAACAAATTAAAAAATTAAAATATTTTTCTAAAAAAGGAATAAATATTATAGAGAAAAAGACAATGCCATAGATCATTATCATGAACTAGAAGAGGTCATGATAGGTTGTGGTTTTTGATATCTTACCCCATACAAGAAAGATGGGCTAACATTAATTGGACCAAAGGAGGGACAGTTATCTCCAGAGTCAAGTTGATTCATATACCTCTATATAATACACAAAGCACTACTGGGGCTTACACTTTAAACCAACTCATTCTAGCAGGCAATCAGAGTATCGTCTTAGTGTTGTTGCCCAGGGATCATGAATAACTTGCTGAGAATTTTTTTTTGACCAAGAAAGTTGATGACATTTTTCTAATGATATTGATGGTAGTTTATGTTTGGAAATATTGTCAGGGGAATTTTTTCAATCTTCTTTGCTCCAGAGTGTGGCTCTTTTAGAGTCTTAACTGAGAAAAGATACAAAGCCATTTCCCAAGACAAACACTGACTTGCAAATATGTCTGTACCCAGCTCAGAAAATCTTGTTTCAATTTCTTGTCTTTCACAGTAAAATGTCAATCCTGCAATCATTCCTTTGATACCAGCAATCAAAGCCCTCATCAGGGAGTGTCTGCCACCCCAAGCAGAGCTGAGAAAAAAGTGACATTCAAAGATCATTCCTGACACATCTAACTACCCATACTAATAAATATTTTACGTTCCATGCATGAATCAGTCATTTCAGAAAACCAAGGTATTTAGCTCATCACTGAGTTGAACCTAAATGTTATTTCTTGAACTTTTAATCATTCTAAGCCACATTTGTATTTTCAGTAAACTTTTAATGAAATTTCCTGTTTTGTTACACAACTGTTCCCTATATTCTATTAACCTGTGTTTTTGAAGTATTGGAACTCCTACATAAAACTAAAAACTAAAAGTAAATACACATAAGAGAATATATGTAAATATATTGTATGTATATAATACAAAATATATATATTTTATCTATTGGAAGTGATGAAAAGAGTTATCTTATTAATTGAGAGGTAATTTAAGAGAAAGATTTTTTAAAAGTCCTCATTTATTATAAATTACTACCTAATTATTTTAGTATTATACAAATAATATGATGTATTTACAAGTACAGAAATATTTCAACCCTTTTAGGTAACTTTCTTATGGAATTTATCAAAATTCCCATGCCAAATATGCCCAGAATTATATTTCTTTTTTAGCACAGTATATAGTAATCTATTACTAGAGTCTCATAAAAGGGAAATACAAAATTACAATTATGAATGCCAACTGCCAAAGTAAAGAAAGCTAATGATGGTAAAGGAATGGGGAGCTGAAAACATTCCAGTTTAAAAGCATAGTAACTTACAAGCATCTTTAAGAGACTTTGTTTGTCTCCCCATAAAATGTCACACTCTGATTTAGGATTGTTTGTGAAATGAATCTAGTCAGTAATGGGCCGAGATATCACTATACCCTCTCTCTTATAAATCACAACAATTTACTCAGTAGGAATGATCTATCCTTATTCTCTCATTCCCCATAATCCAATCACTTCCTCTCATAAGCACTTTCCCCCTGGTTTTCACAATAATGCATTTTCTGTAACTAACAACCATCATTTCCTGATTATCATGCTTCTATCCTTGCACAGGAATGTGGGTCTTATGTGGGTCAGGGTCATCTTTCCCATCCATCTGTGTCTCGATGCTAAGTGTGTTAGCTGAAAGGTGAGTCTGGATAGACCATCATTATGCTTAGACCATATAAAAGTCTGAATGTCTCCAAGTCTGTGCCACTTTGACTAAG